ATTATAGCACAAAATACAGGATGTTAGTAAATGGTCTATATGGTAGCAAGTTTCTTAACAATTAGGCTAAGTATTACACATGGTCCCTAACTTATGATGGTTCAGCTTACGATTTTCAATTTTATGATGGTGTGAAAGCAATATGAATTCAGTAAAAATGGTACTTAAAAGTTTGAATTTTGATTTTTTTCCATGGTTAGTGATATGTGATATGATGCTCTCTCATGATGCTGGGCAGCCGGGAGTGAGTTATGGCTCCAAGTTAGGCACGTGATCATGAGGGTAAACAACCAATACTCCACAGTGTATTCATTGTGTTAGATGACACTCCCTAACTGTAGGCTAATGTAAGGTAAGCTAGGATAAGCCATTATGTTAGGTAAGTTAGGTGTATTTTCAACTTACGATATTTTCAACTTAAAAAGAGTTTGTTAATCAGGCCATAACCCCATTGTAAATTGAGGATCATCTGTACTCATATGTTAACTCTAAGAAGACTATGGAAAGTTAGAATGTATACTGTAATCTTTAAGCCAGGAAATGGCAAACTACAGATAAATCTGGACCATCACTTGTTTTTGCAAATAAAGTTTTATTGGAATAAAGCCATGTTCATTCCTTTACATACTGTCTGTGGCTCCTTTCACACTATGATGACAGAGCAGTGATTTTGACTGAGAACATACAACCCACAATGCTTATATTTATTTTGTGGCACTTCTCAGAAAAAGTTTGCTGACTCTTGACCTAGAATAACAACTTAAAAAAAATAATGGGGAGCATACATAAAAAGCCAATAGTTAAATTAAAATGGAGTTCTCAAAATTATTCAATGCCAAAAGAAGGCACTGAACAAAAATACCACCACCACCACAAAGGAAAAATAATCATAATATGGTAGACCTAAAGGCAACCACACCAATAATTACATTAAATGGAAATGGGCCAANAAGAATGAAATAAAGAAAGAGAGAAAGAAAGAAAGGGAAAGAACAGAGTTAATACTCTATACTTTTTATAAGAATTATGAAATAAATGTTTCTCAAGTATTCTGTGTTACTCCAGAGAAAATTCTATTTAAAAATAACTGTTAAGAGGTTCCACTTCCATACTGGCCAAGTAGCTCCTATCAAACCAACCTATATACAGACAACTATAAACCCAGGACAAAAAGTATTTTTAAAAAATCTGAAGACATTCGTAAAAGACTAAAAATAGGCAAAAACTGGAGTAGAAGGATCTACACATAGAAGAAAGGGAATGTCACTAGGTGAGTTTCTAATTTTTTTAATGGCTTTTTTATATATGGTTTTGCAGACTCTAAGCAGCCAAGGCAAGACTAAAAAAACAGATATTTTCTACCACAGAGGCTAGAGAACCTAGATTTTAAGTCCAGTTAGCTGAGTGCCGAATTAAAAAAAAAAAAAAAGCAATACTGTTCTCAGAAATATAACAGAATTTGGAGTCTCCACAATGCATCATTCAAAATGTCCAAGATAGAATTCAAAATTACTGGACAGAAAAATTTCCCATATTCATAAGAAATGGCAATTAATGGAAACCAAAATCAAGATTACTCAGATGTTGGATTTATCACACAAAGATTTTAAAATAGCTATTATAAATATGCTCAATAATGTCAATATAAATATGCTTATGATGAGTAAACAGATAGAAAATCTCCAAAGAGAAATTTCATCTGCAAAAATAATAGAAATTATAGAACTGAAAACTAAATAACTGAAATAAAACTTAAAAATGTAATATCATAAATAAAATTTCACTGAATGGACTTAACAAGTGAGTAAATATAGACTGGACTTATCCAATTAAAAAAAGAAAAAGAAAGGTTGAAATATGAATGTATAGAGCCTCAGGGACCTAGGGATGATAACTTATATTTCATTAGAATCTAAGAAGGAAAGGAGAGAGAAGTGTGGGCAGAAAAAATATTTGAAAAAAAGAAGTTGAAAAATTTCCAAATTGACCGAAAACACAAATTTACACACACAAGAAGCTCAGCAAACCTCAAGCTGGATAAATGTGAAGAAAATCCACCTAGACAAATCATGGTAAAACTTCTGAAAACCAAAAATAAAGAGAGGGCCTTTTGAGCTTCTTCTTTTGCTTGGCCCGCTCCAAACTCTTCGGAGTGTACTTTCTCTTCTCATAATGGCCCTTGAGCCATTCTCTACTGCTCAGGCCCTCTTCTGTTTCTTTGAAGTGTACTATCTCCTAATAAACTGCTTTTTCACCACTTAAAAAAAATAATAGTAATAAAGAGAGGATCTTGAAAGCACCCAGGCAAAAATGGTACATTATATGCAGGGGAATAATGACAAAGATAAGTGTGGACTTCTCATCACAAATAATGGAGGCCAAAAGAAAATGACAAATCTATATTGCAGTGCTGAATAAAAACTAATAAAACTCTACC